TGATAGAAGAGGTTACCAGAGCAAGGTACCTACTGTCAGCTGGAGTTTATTTGTTCTGGGGACTCCATACCTCTGAAGTTCTTTTGCAACGGGGAACTTCCCCTCTGCAGAGGGACCTCTTGACACTGCTAGTCTTTCACAATGCCTTTAGGGTTTGGCAGTCTAAGCCCAACTGGAAATCAGACATTTCAAAGTATTTTGGGGACCTGAGAAATAGTCCTTTCCAATGCTTTTAGTGACTTTGAGCTGACTGTGGGCTATTGTGACCCTGGAGTATTGTGTTCTGAGGCCTGGCTGCAAGAGCTGTTTCTTTACAAGCAGCTATTGTGAGGGAGGAAAGCAAAGGCATTGTGTCCTGGACAGGAGTAATGATCTAAGTCTTCTTCCTCATTATCTCCAGAAGGAAAGAGAAGTATCTTTTTCTGTGTGGTTTGATTTTGTAAAGGCCTGACTGGTCAGAGTGACTACTAATATGAAGTGGCTACAACTCTAATGTGAAGGAAGAGAATATCCGCTGAATAACCGACTGCTGCCCACGTGCGGAGGCCGCAATCGCCCATGGCAGCAGGGGCCATTTACAGAGTGACCATGCAGCAGGTCACTTTCTGGGTGTGCCACAGTGACGGTACCTTCTAACCAACTCACACCAATTGCTGACAAAAGACAGTACCAACCCCTCAGTTTTGATCTAACACATGCTGGTTGTATTCGGTTCTGGAAACGAATCTCTTTTTAGTAGTGTTTGTTTTAATATGATGTGCCTGCTGCAAATGTATTAATTTGAAAAGAGATGACGTTTACTTGAGAGGCTGCAGTATGCTGAGCCCTGCATAATAGATGAGAAAAAGATTTCCTTTTCTCAAAGACAGTCTGAAGTGAATGTGCTCTACAGGCTAGATATAAAATACACAGGAACAGCATCATGCTGGAAATATTTTGTCTTGTTTTTTTCTTTACTATCTCTAATATATACAAGCATTTTTATATATATATATATATATGAACCCACGCAATAAACAGCTGTCCAGAGCACACTTGCTTCCTGACAATCTCATCTAATCTTTCCTTACTGATCTGTAGCTCTTCCCAAGGATTTATGACATACCTAGTGCAAATTATTTAAAACTCAGTCTGGTATAGAAATAATTGTCTTTCCTGCTGTATTCATACCCAGATTTGTCTAAGTATTGTTCAGACCTGCTTGGTGATGGTTTTAAATGTACTATTTAGCAAGATGTAAACCCCCTAGAATGGACACAATGCTCAAGTTTTGAAGTTATGACATGCTTATGTCTTAGTAGACTCTGTAAAGTAATGCTTTGAAGTCAGATTTAGTAGTGCCAATGCTGCACTGAAATCCTGTTGTTCAAAATGTTCATGATCCCTCTGGATTCACCTGTGAAGAGAATTATCATGTTCTTCAATCCATCCAAATGATTAGTTAAAATATACTAGTATTTGACCCAGCACTAATCACTCTGCTCCCTATCAATAAAAATTTAAAATTCTTTTTCCTTATTCCTGATTCCTCTACAGTTCTCCTTATTCCATTTTCTTCTATTAAAGTATCATATGGGATTCCACATCTAATGCCTCAATAAACTTCCTGAAAATAGTTTTACTTTATACACAGTGCTGTAGGAACACGTCCACGATAGCTGGGATTCCTTGCAAAACTGCTAACATTTTTTTAGATGTAACAAAAACTAATTACAGCTAGAGTGATAAAACTGTTGCACCTGCACATTTTGAAGTGATTTAGAGAGGACAGCAAAGTCCTAATTAGTGCCTGATAGACAGTGCAGCACTTGCAACACTAAGGATCAAAGAGTGCCATTTGAAAGGATTCAATACATGCATCTTGTGAATTTATACACGCAGTGGCCTAAAACAGTCTGAGTAAATTACTCTATAGCGCAACTCAATTCCATGTGTACTTTTAAAAGCCACACCTAAGAAAAAATAGTTACAGCAATAAAAAAGAGGAAAAAGGGTGAATGAAGGTAGCTTCCAGCAAAAAGAGTGTAATCACAAATCCAGATCTTGCCCTAACTGAAATAAATTCCTCCTTCCCTCTCAAGAGAGCAATATGTAAAAAATCAGCAATACATTTAAACTGAATCAGAATCTTTTCATAGAATGAACTGATTTAAATACAGCCTTTTCTTCTTGCTCTTTATATGTAGCCTTGACCTCATCTGTTTAAGAGCTATGATTTTTTTACCCTCTGTAGTCACAAGGTGAACCTGTGTTTCATGAGGGACTTACCTAGTGTTGTTGCTATCACTTATCTTTACATGCATGTGCTCTATCTCAAATATTACTATTTATGCAACTCCGAACCTGACTTCCTTTAGTGCAAACCAAAGTTAAAATCAAGTTTACAGAGGTCCCACATGAGGCCCATGCACTTCTCATGTCCTAGTTTGTGGGCTGCAGCAATACACACTGGGATTTTGCAGAAAGCAAGCAAGCAGCTGCAAGTACCCTTTTGCAAGTACCCTTCTGAAGGCAAAACAGTACTTGCCTTCACTCCTGTGAGCTGATTAAATGCATTTATGTATAACCACTTGGAAAGGCCACCTCAAGTAACGTGGAGACAATGTAGATGTCTTTGCAAGTATATTGTAATTTCCTAAATACGGGATCTAAAAAGTCAGCCAAATAGCTGCACTCATCAGCCTAGAATATGTTTCATGTAGTCTTCTGGAAGGTGGATTAGAAAAGCCAAGGCTCTATACAAAAAGACTGTTTTTTCAACAGAGCTGTAGTGGAAGCTTTGTCGGCAGCTCATAAAGAATTAGAAAAAACCCTGATATTTAAAGAAAGCTAATTTGAGATATTGTGTACTCATTCAAAAGACAGGTAGCTTCCCTGGTTTACATTCTCTAATCAACTCCTAGTAAAATGTTAAATTCATCCATGAGAAGAGTACAGAGTACTTGGAGAACTTCTCAATGAAGAAAAATTCTTGCATGATGTCAAACAGAAACAACATTCCACCTGCAAAGCTCAGTTCAGTATATGCACTTACCCTACTGTCTGAACATTAGTAACTCACAGGTTTTATTTGTATAAAAATTAAGTGGAAATGTTACCACTTTGTTTACCACAGGTAAGCGTTGTCTTAAATAAATGCTTATCCCAAAAAGCTATGACTGGAAACTTACGAATTCAGAAAAATGCCCTCGATAGCCTTATGGATGATGCCATGACTTTGCTCTTTGCCAGGCGAAGAAGTGGTATTATGTATGTTGTTACGTGAGACTACCCTATATTGTCTATGTTGATTTAGGATGCTGGCAATGCAGCTTAACTCTATACAAGGTGCCTTGATCAGAATAATGTTGACATTTCTTTTTTATATGCTTAAACTATCTCACACCAATAGGAAAGGCTTGATTTCTTGTTATTCTTTTACTCAGTTCTTAGTAACTGGAATGAAGAAGGGGAGTTATAAGGTACGGTTGCACCAAGATCATAAAACTCTCCTTTTTAGTATTTTTATTGCCCTATCAAGGAACTACTTTTGGTGTTCATAGTTTTAAAAAGGGCGGGGGGGCATGAACAACATACATTCTTTCACTTCTTGTCTTTAAATTGCTGTAGGTTTTTAACTTTTCCTTCTGTTTCTCTGCTGCTTTAGTCCTTATGCACCTAGAATCTGTTTGCATTGGGAACAATTTAAAAAACGTGAAGGCTACAGTTCTTGCACTAATGACACTTACTAGCTTCATTGGCAAAAACAAGCCAGAGAGCTGAGGGAGCACCAGAAAAGTACGGATATCTGAGTGAAATGACACAGGCAAAAATTAAAAATAAGTCAGATTACAGAAAAAACAGCCCAAATCAAATGTTTTCTTGCACAGTCGCAGAATACTACGTAGCAACTCCTAAGATAACAAAGGATCTCAGCTGTCTTCTTCAAAGTTTCTTTCCTAAAAGCAGCATAGTAACATTTTCAATGTTTTAAGACGACAAGTACAGAAGGTGACTATCAAAGTAAATGTTATTTTTAGTAGATAATGCAATGGCAGGTGATTAGCCCCAAAAGGCAAAGTGACAAATGCACTGTTTTTTGGTGAAACTGGACATTTCATCTACTGCATAAAACATACATTTTATCTAGTAAGTATTTTCATTTACTGTAGTTGTCTACTAAGAGGCAAAAACTCACCCAGAAACCTGTCCAGCAATCTCATTAATGGGTACAGGCCCAACATGTGACAGCAGCTGTGTCCAACTCAAATTTCACTGCAGTCACTCTGTTTTGAAGAACTCACAGGCACCTTCCTGTTGTTGAAAATATTGTTTCATTGACGTAGTGTATCGTCATAGCTTACCACACCACCCTTCTTGACATAAGCAGAAAGTTGCAAAGGAATGAGCAGTTAGATCATAGTAGGCTCTAAATGTTAACTTCACAACTCTACGATAATTTCAAGAGGATGCATATATGAAAGTTAGAAGACAAAAGGAAATGCGTAATACATTATTTCATGTATCAACTGCTAATTTTCTTCTTGACTAGAGACATCTGAAGTTTGGCATCCAAAACTGAAGGTTCTATAGTAAGCTTCTCACTCACATGAACTATTTCAAGATTTTATTTCCTTTATCCTGTGACAGGAATAGCTGCTCAAGTGAAGTTTTGGGGCTTGGGATTATTTTCAAACAATGAATGAACCAATCTGAAGTTATCCCAATAAAAACAATAAGCAGCAAGTCCTAAAAATACCAGTTAATTTTGATAATTTAATTTGCCATTTATAGTCATCCAAACATCTTACTCAACACTGTTAAGTACAAAAACCACTGAACATAAAAAAACAATTTAAATGTTATCTTTCAAATGTAAAAGTGCAATTAACACAGGCAAAGTTTTTGTAAGAACGTTACATTTCTATTAAATTCACTGGCTACATAAGAGCCTAACAGGTATATTGCCCACAATAAAGTGAATGAGGATTTTATTTTTTGTTAATTTTGAATAAGCCTGGTAGTTGATAAATAAAGTTTTACTGCCACCATAATTATGATACATACATCCAAAAAATGAATAGCACAATTGTTTTCATAATTTTCAGTTTTACCGACTTCAAGAAACTTAAGTAGAGGAACAGTAAGATCTGTAAAGTTCAAAAAATAATTAACGCCATAAAACCTTGTATCAAGTAAGTCTGCACAAAACAGCTATTCTGAATTGCTTTCTCCAGAATTCTGATAGCTTTCCGAAGATGTTATTTACTCCCAACAAACATTCTTCCTTTACAGTACTGAATGGATTTTCTGGAACAAGATTTACATTTATAATCTTTCATGCACTACATATTCACAATTTGGAAAGAAATGGAAGGCCTTCATACATGTCAGCCTTTAATCTTATCCAGTCCTGAAGTCTCTGCAAAGTTGTTTTTTCTTGTGTTAATATTTTTGCAGCTTTTCTCAGTTTTTCTTCATTTCGTTCTAAATAACGAATTCCATCTGTCTGCAGCTGATTGAGTTTCTCTTTACGACTTTCATCCAGAGGTATGTCTTCATTCATAAGAGGGTTAAATCTGAAATAAGTATCTGGAGGTAACAGTGCATCCAGCATGGTGTGAACTTCTATATTGAAAACAAATGAAGGAAACAGTTATATTTACATGAGACAGACAAATAGTCCTACAGTCTCTGAACAACAAGTGCTCTGGAGTGACACAGTAAGTGTAAATATGTGCTGTTTTGCTGAGTAAACATTTTTTCCACCATTGCCTTATAAAAAATTTGTTCTCATTGGAAGGTTTACAAATGACCCTGTAGCTCTGTTTACCCTAGAAAAGCTTCACCTTTTATTCTAAGACAACTTCACTGCTATGACAATTAAGAAGGCTTTGCAGCTATACAGGTTTATAATTACATGTACATTCCATTCCTTTACAAGTGAGAGTGCATTCTGTTTTTTTAATGTTCCCATCCAGGATACCCATGATTTGTTACACTCAGTACTAACGGAAGTAGGTATTATGAAAACAACAGCTATATATATTCTTCTCTAATCTCAAAAGACTGCAGTAAAAAAATATGTAGGTTTAAAGCTTTCTTTTGTTTGCAACTAATTCATTTTTTATATATTACTACAGATTTTGGGTTTGAATTTAACATTAATTTAATTTAAAACGTTCAAGTTAAATTATAATAGTTCAGTTAACTAGTACAATAATAAACTGGCTATGTAATGTATTTGTATGTTCCTCTCTTGTCTTCCTTTTCCCCTCTCGTTTATAACCTATTTTCTCTCTCCTTTTAGATCTCTCTTCTCTTCGTCAGCTCCCTTAAAATTCCATTTCCGTGACTTCCTTCATCTTTCATTCTCTTTTATTTTTTCAATCTTCTTCGCATTCTTACCATGCTCCTCCATTCTTTTAAGTGTCTACTGTTATATAAAAGTTTTAAAGTGAAAAAAATATCATGGGAAGACTACAGCAAAATATTGTTGTTAACCAGAAATCTTCTCTGTTGGTCCCTCCTCCTGTAAATTACTGAGCTGTGTCTCTGTTTTCCCCTCACCACACCCACTCTTTCTTGCCCTATTTAATACTCTGCCCTTTTTCCTTCATAATATAACTTCCCATTTGCTCAAATCTACTCTCCCCTCTTTCCATTTCCTCTCCTTTGGTCTCCACAACGAACTTTCCTTTCCTCCTCTTCCCCATCAAATGTCTTGCCTGATTTTTCAGCTGCAATGAAACTTTTTCTTCCCTTGATAGAAAGTGGACAGCACATCTCTCCTTCTCACAATTCTTACTGCCTTTCCACGACTGTGCAAAAAACAAAGGTGGCGCAAAATCTAGGTTTTTCTTACTAATGACAGTTAGTTGACAGAGATCATGCAGCAAGGGATCTAGACTGTAAGAGTACTTCTTGTTCCCTAGCTTTTTACAGTATCAGGTTCCTTTGTAAGGGGGGAGGGGGGCAGCATCGGCATATCAATATTTCCTGTTTATAAAAACAAAACAGATGTAAACTGCTAGTGATAGAGTTCCAGTGTACTCCCATCCTAGGAACAGAGTATTTTGGAAAATACATGCTTCGCTCCTCCTGACAGTAATGGAAGTCATGACCATTAGCAGATACAGTCTAATCCTTGGAAAAGCACATGTGTAAAAGCACATATAGAAAAGAAAAGAACAGAACTAAAATACTTTTTCTGAAGCTGTTGAAAACCAATGTTCTATATTAACTATTAAACATTTCTCTTTATGGGAAAACCAAACCAAATATAAGAAAATACGATTTTTCTATTGAAATGAATTCCTGAGTATACCTTTATCCTGAAGCACAAGTAAAAACATATCACTTTGTATAAATCCTGTTGGATTATCATTGTCATTCTGATAAATTTTAAGGTATCTTTTATCTTTAGTATAGCTATGTCATCAACCTCATATTAACAGTTGAGAACTCATAAACTAAAAGAACTTAGCAGCAACATAGTGAAGAGGAAGATTCATGGAGATAAAGCCAAGAAACACATTCATATTATCATCTCCAGAAAACCTGTAATACTGGTACTGAAACACCAACTATACATAATGAGTTACAAAGAGACATGTTTCGAGTCGTTTCAATGCGGCGGGTAGAGAGGAGAAGGGGAAAGGCAAAAGGTTGCAGATTGCTCTCTGAAGTGGAACTGTAATTCTAAGAAACGTAAAAAACTGAAAAGTCTCAACACAAATATATCTTAAGACACCAACCTTCTGTATCAGTTGCACTGCTGATAACATTTGTGAGTTTGGCTTTCAAACTGGTGTATGTGACATTGGTCTTTCCCTCGCTTTCGTATCGACCGGTGCCCAGCGATACCAGACACTGCAATGGAACATTTGGCCAAAGACACTTGCACTCATGAACTGCCAGTGCAGAAGGATTATTTAGAAGCAGACCTCCATCCTGTAAATTAAATACAAATGTCAGTACTATACATAACATATGGTCATAAAAGAAACTGCAACTATACACTAAACTAGCATAGCACTAATATACAAAATCAATGAAATCAAACAAGCATTAATTTCCATCTTTTGTGCAACTGTTCTGTTTGTGCTATGCAGCAGCAGTGCAGCTAGGCTTCCTGGGCTTATGGACACTGTCAGAGCAGCTCCCGGATCTGTGGTCACTTCTGCAGTTGTGAGTATTGTATAGAAGAGGTAGGCCGAAACAGCAGCATTCACTGGAGTATCTGAAGAAGTTATGACTTTATCTTCTGAAGACCTTTTAGGTAAGACAGATATGCATATTGACAATTTCTTAAACAATCAAAAAGTCTGCATCTCAAAATGTTTATTACTGGTATTACAAGGATATATTCTGTAACAAAATCAAAATCACTACCTGCAGATTACAAAATAAAAAAATCACAAGAGCTAAGCTACCTTATAAGCACAGTCATTACGTAGGATGCTATAGTCTGGATTTAAGACTTGGAAAAATCACAGAATCATTTAGGCTGGAAGGGACCTGTTGAGCTCATCTGGTCCAACCCCCCTGCTCAAGCAGGGTCAGCTAGAGCACATTGCCCAAGGCCATGTCCAGTCAGGTTTTGAGTACCTCCACAAATGGAGACTCCAAACTCTCTGGGCAACCTGTTCCAGTGTTTGACCACCCTCACAGTAAAAAATTTTCTTGTGTTCAGATGGAATTTCATGTGTTTTCATTTGTGCCACTGTCTTTTGTCCTCTCAGTGGGCACTACTGGGAAGAGTACAGCTCCCTCATCTTCATTCCCTCCCATCCTTTATTCGTACACATTGATAAGATCTCTCCTTGAGCCTTCTCTTCTCTTCTCTAGGCTGAACAGTCCCAGCTCTCTCAGTCTCTCCTCATATGAGAGATGCTCCGGTCCCTTCATCACCTTTGTGGCCCTGCACTGGACTCACTCCAGTATGCTCACGTGTCTCTTGTACTGGGGAACAACACAGTACTCCAGATGCGGCCTCAGCAGTGCAGAGAAGAAGGATTATCTCCCTTGACCGGCTGGCAACACTTTGTTAATGCAGCTCAGGATGCTGTTGGCCTTTTTTGCCACAAGAGTGCATTGCTGGCTCATGTTCATCTTGTTGTCCACCAGGACCTGAAGGTCCTTCTCTGCCACGCTGCTTTACAACCAGTCAGTCCCCAGTGCGGGTTGGTGCATGGGGTTATTCCTCCCCAGATGCAGGACTCTGCCTTTCCCCTTGTTGAACTTCATGAGAATTCTCCAGCCTGTTGAGGTCCCTCTGAGTGGTGGCTCAACCCTCTGGTATACCAGCCATTCCTCCCAGGTTTGTACAGTGAACTTCCTGCAGGTGCACTCTGTCCCATCATCCAGGTCATTAATGAAGATGTTAAATAGTATCGGCCCAAGTATTGACTGAGGGTACACCTCTAGTGACTTGCTTCCAACTAGACTTTGTGACACTGATCCCAACGCTCTGGGCCTGGTCATTCCGCTAGTTTGCAATCCACCTCACTGTCTACTCATCTAATCCACACTTTGTCAGCTTGTCTATGATGTTATGGGAGATAAGTGTCAAATGCTTTACTAAAGTTGAGGTAAACAACATCCACTGCTTTCCACTTGTCCACCAAGCTAGTCACCACGTTGCAGATGGCCACCAGGTTGGTCAGTCATGAGTTCCCCTTTGTAAATCCACGCTGACTCCTCATGATCACCTTGTCTTTCGTAACTTTGGAAATCCTTTCCAGGAGGATTTCCTCCATCACCTCCCGAGGGACTGGGCTGAGGCCAACTAGCTCTGTAGTTCTCCAGAGCCGCCTTCTTGCCCTTCCTGAAGGTAGGAATGCTATTTGCTCTCCCAACCTCTCCCAATCACCATGATCGTTTAAAGATAATCAAGAGTCACCTCGCAATGGCATCAGCCAGCTCCATCAGCACTCATAGGTACAACCCATCAGGCCCTATGAATTTAGGTATGTCCAGTTTGTTTAACTGCTCCCTAACCTGGTTCTCCTCCATTGAGTGTAAGTCCTTGCACCAGACCTTCCCTCTAGCTTCAGGGGCCTGGGATTCCTGAAAGCCGTTTTTACTGGTAAAGACTGAGACAAAGGCAGCATTAAGCCTTTTCCATGTCATTTGTCACCAGCTCCCCTGCCCCATTCAGTGGCGGGCCCACGTTTTCCCTAGTCTTCCTTTTGTTGTTTATGTACTTGTAGAATGCTTTGTTGTTGCCCTTCACATCCCTCTCTTGATTCAACTCCAGGGCAGCTTTTGCTTTGCTAACCCCATCTCTGCAAGACTGGATAGGAGCTCTACACTCCTCCTGAGTCACCTGCCCCTGCTTCCACCTTTTGTACACTTGCTTTTTATGTTTTGAGTTCAGTTAGGACCTCGTTGCTCATCCACGCCTGCCACCTTTGCTTGATTTCCTACTTGTTGGGATGGTCCTTTCTTGAGCTTGGAAGAAGTGATCACTGAGTATCAGCCAGCTCTCCTGGACCCCTCCTCTCTTCAAGGACACAGCCCATGGGATTCTTCCAAGCAGAGCTCTGAAGAGGATGAAGTCTGCTCTCCTGAAATTCAGGGCTGTAGTCCTGCTTTCTTCCCTGCTCCCTTCTCTTAGGATCTTGAACTCCATCATCTCATGGTCACTGTAGCCAGTTCTTTATTCTTCATAAGCATCAGGTCCAGCAAAGCACCTTTCCTTGTTGGCTCCTCCATCAACTGTGCCAGGAAGTTGTCATCAATGCACTTGAGAAATCTCCTAGGTTGCTTGAGCTCTTTCGTATTGTCCTTTCATCAGGTATCAGGATGATTCAAGCCCCACCCTGAGGACGAGGCCCCAGGAATGCGAGGCTTCTTTAAGTTGTCTGAAGATCAGAATTCAGCCCAAAGCTAATAGGAACAAAGATTACTCTTCCAGGTCTGGAAGTGAGGAGAGACATCTTTTGCTAGCAACATGTCAAAAGCATAAGTGATGAGACTGGGATAAAATACTTTAGGACTAATAAGAATTCGTATGACTGACAATAAGTCTGAGAAGCATTCAGACGAGATTTTGATCCAGCAAATCTCAAAACGTATGTTCAACACTTGATCTTCACTCCAACTAAGAAATAGATTAGTTTGGACTTTGAATTCAATAGGACTTTCTATACTGGGAATGCATTAAAAAAAGCGGTTATAAAGGCAAAACTTAAGCTGAAAACATTATCAATAGCAGAGACAAAGATCTTTATAGCCATTCCAATAAACATTATGCAAAAGCTCCCTATATCCTGAAGCTCCCTGAACTCCCTCTATCCCATACCTGACCATCACGTTACAAGAACAATTAAAAAAAAAAGCAACTCTACTCAGGAATAGCTTAGAATAAAAAATGCTTTGGATTTGATAAACATTTTACAGAAACTCTTTTCAACTACAGCTGTGTTAGATAAATAAGTAAGAACAGGACTACTGAGCTGAGTTTTTTGAGGTTGTTTTTTTTTTAATTAAGCTTTCATTTCAATCTACAAAAGCTCTTTGAACTCCTGCTGGATACTGTCCGCTTTGCTCAAAACGCTGCTAAAATGAATGGTCTCTTCAGTGCCTATTACCCTTTGCTTATGTTTAAATTAGCTTCTGCACAGAAAACTAAATACAAGGATGTTTTTGTCTTTGATATAATTCCCCATGAATCTTAATCTAAAATCTTAATAGTTATCTTTGTGGTGCTTACTTTTTTCTTTAAATCCTAGATTAAAAACATGCTTACCAAATAATTTCCACTGATCTTGTCAATATAATTTAATTAAACTTGATTGCTTCACCATGGGAAAATTAGTGTTATCAAAAGTTAGGGGGTACATAATACTAGAATACTACAATATTTTTGTAATATTGACAAATAAAAGATCAAAGGAAGGTAAAGTACATATACCTACCCATACCAAATGCATATTGTGATGAAAACTAACAGCTCTGTGAAGTGATTTCCATATTTAAACATTCTCCAATTTAGGTTTATTGAAATGACAGTAAATATCCATTCTTAAGAATTTTCAATTTAGACACCTTTAACATAACTTCTAGCATTTACACAGATACATGTTGTTTTTGGAAAGTTAGAAGTAGGACTCAATAAGGAAGGCAACTGATTTTTTTATTCCCCTCCAAACAGATTATGGTTGATAATGACCACATCCCGATCAACATTGTGCTTCAAATCAGCTTACTCTGTTAAACAAAGATGTTCGTCATATTGCTCTTTTGCTTACAATGATCAACTACTGAAGCAGTAAATAACACTATTAGTTAAATCGGACTATTAAGGACTCAATGAAGGAAATACTGCAATAATTTATTTAATTCTGCAGCTCCAGAAACCTTAGAGCGAATTAGTCAAAGGCTGAAATTCTTGTGGAAAAATATTTCACAAGTTTTAAAATTAGTTGCAATGATTTCACATTATGTAAATTCTAAGAAAACTGTAAAAACCAACGAATTTTCCAGTTCTAAGTTTAAAAAATAGAAGCTAACCTTTCTGATTCTGAATAATTCCTCTATCTTCATAAAACTGGACAAAAAGTCCTTCCCAAGAAATATATTAAACTAGCAATACAGAAATATGAAAGCCAGATCTAAATTTTTAAAAAAGTAATTTTAAGAAATCACAACATATCCTTCTTCATGCTTGTCATTGAGACACTGGAAAACAATTCCATGTGATCGACTCTGCAGTTTTGTACTTATACTGACATCACAAGAATCTTCACTGATCCTTGCTCTGAATTCCTATGCATTTAGTCTGTCAATTTGTTTTGGAGAACTGCTAAATTTAGTGTCTTAATTTTTTTTTTTTCTGATTCTCGTGAAGTTATTCTGTAGTTATATAATACTATAAAAACTGACCTAAGTTATAAATAACTTGCCAATTAAAATATTTTTATTGTAAGCACTCAGCTTTTAAAAGATGTTTTTAAAAATACATTAACCAAAATGCAATATAACCAAAAGACTGAATGATTGCTAGTAGTATGGAATGTCTTGGTGACTAACACAATAGCTTCCTCTTCCATATTAGTTTCTCTGAGCTTTCTTGCCATTTTAAAGTTTCATGCTGTTAAACAACTGGAAGTAAACAAGGCCAATTTATCTGATCTATGGGTACAGAGATGCCTGTTGGCCAAAATCTGAATTCTTGTCTCTTTTTTTCATAAGGAAGCAATTCATTTTATGAGTCCATTCAATTTCAGATGTTCTGTTTTCTTGGTACAATCTCTTGTCTTTGATCCACCTATCTCTCAATCTTAAATTCCAATTTTTCAGTTACTATGATGGTAGAATTAGGATCTTCCCAGCATGCTTCTGCAGGAGGGAAGAATAACAAACCAAGAATAGTAATCCAGAAGCAAAAAGTTTAACCCAAACAATTAATTCATTGATTCAGGCCATGGAGTGAAAGACATTCATGGCTGGGGAACAAACAAAAAGCAAACACTAGTAAAATGCTTTTTAGAAATACAGCAAAGTGGATAGTTGTGATGTGCTATGGGGAAAAATATGACAATTGCTGAAAAGATTAGGGAAACTAGGTATACTAGTAACAATCTGTACTGCATACTCTGCAGAATGACTGTGGGGAAGTTTCATGTGTCTCATGCTCCATGAATTGTATTTACACAATAATGCATTTTAGAATGATTGTAAGTATAGTGATCAGCAAATGCCAACATCAGCAAGACATGCAAAACGTATCAACAGAATGCAGCCTTCAAAGTTTATTAATATTGTTGCATTTTTTGTGCCCATTATCTATTTCATCAAATATATTTTCAGAACATAATTTATAATTGAAAAGCATATATTTCATGGACCCATACTAGCATAGCACAATTCTGATCTCCTAAAGCCTTCATATAAACAAAATATTGCAAACAAAAAACGATCTTTATACCTCATACAATGGTGTAAAAATCTTGTTGATATAAAGTGATATTTTAAATTATACTATAAGCTTCAGATGCAATTCAAATTCTACAAAGCAATGCTGACTTTATGCACAGCCCTAAACCTTTTCCGTTCCTAGTAAATTTATCAGTTCCTTTTTGACAGACTGGAATGTCTGCAAACGTCCCTCCTTTCATCAGTATTATTAGATATATTGCTATGCTATGGTACTGTCTGTGTGCACACAGAAAAAGAGAGACAATATGAACAGTATATTAGATAAACTACTAGATTATCAACATACACTTGGGATAAAAGCAAAACCAGTAAGTCAAGTGAAGCGATCATCCCCTTTTGTTCAGTACTCATGAGGTCAAACTGGGAATACTGTGTACAGCATTGGACATCCAGTTACAAGGCACTGAAAAACTGGAATATATACAGTAAAGAACCACTAAGATAGTTTGGGGGCTGAAGCACATAACATGTGAGAAAGAGATGCAGGGAACTCAGTTTGCTCAACCTGGAAAAAGAGAAAACCAAGGAGGAATCTAATC